TTGCATCAAGCACCAATGCCCTACAACTGAGACAGAAACAGAAGAAGTGAACTTTTGCCAGAAGAAATAGCCGCGTTCCTCCCTCCATGTCTATCTCTAGCCGGTGTCTCTCCAGTATGCAAGCTGGAAAGGGACCCACCGCCCTGTTTGCTATCATCGCCGTGCAGCAGGCTGCAGATAACGCCGCTCTGAAACTAAAAGGGGAACAGGTGGTGGCCTCGTGGTCGCTGGTCTTCTTTGCGTTCCTGCTGGTTAGCCTTGACTGGTGGAGATGGCATCTTCTGAGTCCTCAAGAGCGGAATGAAAATAGTTAATACAGCTGAGTGAGGATGGAAGGGAGTTGAATGGAGAGGCTCACGCACAGACCAACACACAGCAACACAGAGAGAGAATTCTTCTCTCGGGCTGTTCTTCAGAAGCTTTCCTTTATTAGCCCAGAAGTGGAAACTAACCACACAGACCAAAAATGGGGACAATCGATATTTCTAAGCGTCTCTGGCAGCTTTGTGATTTGACTCCTTCCTCTGTAGCCCATAATAAAGCTGAAGGTATTGATACCAGCAAAATTGGAGTGAATTGATAAAGTTAGAGTCAGACTGGGGTCATAGACTATTGGGCTTCCACCCCTCAACCGAACATGCCAACAAGCTCTGTGGTTAAGTTTGCCAAAGAGTTGAAACAGGAAGATATTGATCAGGTGTGAAGTCAGCTAGCAGAAGAACAGGAACAGAGATGCAGAGGTGTATTCAGATAAAGCCCAAAATAAAGATGTTCTAAAACCATGAAGTGTCCCAGATACAGAAGATCACCAGTTGGCATGGATACCACCATACATGTGGTTTTGAGACATATTCTATTATTACGGAATGTTAGCTATTAAGTACACATGCTCAACTATGTGACCAATCATGTAACCTCTGATTATGATGCTGTTTTTGAAAAGATATAAAAGTTTCGTGCTTTCTATTTTCAGGGCTCTCTTCTTGGGAAGGGGTCCTCAATTACTAAGCTGCCTTAATAAATGAGTAAATGAGTTTCTCAAGTCCAGTCTTTTCATTGGATTAAAGGGCTGGGCTGAAACCACGATTTGTGGCCAACAGTATCCCTGAGGTGGGACATGGGACAAAGTCAGATATTTCATTAACCAGGGTGCAAAAGAATAGAGGTCTAATTCTGACATCCAGGGTGGTCCAGTGGGGAAGGTGCTGGATCAGGAGCAGGAAGACCCATATTCCACCTCCTGGGAGACTTTGGGCCAATCTTTCTTTTTCTGTCCAGCCTGCCTCAGAAGATTGCTGTTGAATGTGAACGAGGGAGACTCAGGTTGTAGTCCTTCCACAGATGCTCCTTGTGGGACTTTGGTCCAAATCCGTCTGTCTCAGCTCAGCCTACCTCACAGGGTCATCATTGTGGGAAGACACAGGAGGAGGAAGTGCCTGGAGCTCCTGGAGGAAAAGCAGCTCATAAATCTAACAAATGAAATAAATTCATTCAGCAGTTCAAACACTGATCTGGGGAACCACATGATGCAAGCTCCTCCCCATTCCATTAAAGTCAATGAAATAGAGATCTTTGTGTGCCTGGTGGCTGTGAGAAACAACAACGTAGAAGGCGGGGAAGGCCTGAGAGTAAAACACAACAACACAAGAGAAATGTAACTTAACTCTTCAATTTGGGTTGAAGAATCCAAGGCTGGTTGGACTTGAAGGTGTGCTTCTGTAATTTTTCCAGTTGGATAGAAAAGAGACATTCTGGAAAGGAAGATGTCTTCTCTTTACTGGTGGTCTACCATGTCTTTTAATATATTTATTCTAATTTATTTTTCTAGGTTTCACAGTCTGATATTTTCCCTGGCTCTTCCCAGGGTTTGGAAGGTAATACTTACAGTGGATGGGAATTTTGAAAATTCCAGCCCCCATATCTCAGGGTCAAGATTGGGAAAGGCTGAAATAAATATTCAGCAAAGCACATTCCACTAAAAACCGTTCCTCAGGTGGTGGCTACCATCTTGGAATCCTAGAACGAATTGTGTCTGTCAAATCACTGAGTCCAACCCTCGTTTATGGCAGAAATCCACATTAAAGCATCCGGACTGATGGTTGTCCACGCTCTAAAATGTGACCAGAGAAATTGGAATCTGTCTGAACAAAGGCAACTGTGTTGATTGGGAAACTACAAACTGGGAAGAGAGCTGGGAAGAGCTGAGGATCTTTTAGCTTTGAGAAAAGATTATTGGGGGCGGGGGCGGGATATGATAGGACTCTTGCCGTCTCTGTTGCATAGAGAAAGGTCAAGATGTCTTCGTTCTTGTTCCAGAGAGCAGGACACAGAAGAATGGATTCAGGTTTAACAATAGAACCAAAGACCCGGAGCAACAGTGGAATCTCCTTCCTTGAATGTGTTCAAGCATTGGCTGGGGATCGATTAATTTCCAATTTAATTTGCAATCCTGCACTGAGCAGGGGAGTGGTCTAGTTGTCCTGCAAGGTCCCCTCTGACTCCAGAATTCAATGATTCTGTGGCCATGTTTCTCCTTCCTCAATTTCCCCCCCCCCTCTCTGCCCCACAGGTCTGGAAGGCCCTGGGAGTTGGTCCTTCAAGTGCTTCTGTCCGACATGGGCATTAAAGCGGCATTGCCTACCTATGAGCTGGGGCTGTACGCCCTGGTTGTGTCCTGTGCCATCGCTTACAGTGGGCAGGAGATCTTTGAGAGCTCCAGAGGTAATGGTTGAAAAATCCCTTGGGGAGGGGGAAGAATTTGCATTGGGCCCCCAGAATTCTCTCTCTTTTCCCATCTGCTCCTAGAACAATCCCCTTACAGATGTGTTTTGATATGGGGTGGAGGCTGGGCCTTCTTAAGACACTGGGGGCCACATGTTTATAGAAATCTCCATGACACACAACGCAACACACACACACATTCTTTCTTCGCACTATGTATCTCCCTTTAATCTTCCCCTTTGCAAGTTAGCCCAGTTCCTTAAACTGCTGATAGCATTTCTCGAAACTTTTCTATGTCCCTTTTTAAGTGCAATGCTGAGATTAGAGGGACAGAAAACCCCATGTACTTATACCTTAACACAGTTGTGAAGAATTATTAAGATTATGGGTTGTTTTTTTTTAATGTCAAGGCTTCTCAAATTCAAATAGAAGAGAAACTGGATCCAAACCAGTTTTACAGAATAGCAGTAGAGTGGCCATGGATCATATATTATTTGCGTTCCTCAAGACAATGGAGCACAAAGATCATGTTCATGTCCACGGGGGAGGGGCAAGTGACATCAGCGCATCATGACATCATCATGCAGATGATGTCACTTATGTGCAACCGATGCAAATTACATCTATTGCATCAGTGGTGTGATGATGCCATCAAGCCTGTGGGGTCATCATGGCTTGTACCAAATGCTGTGATCCCTTGAAGATGTCCACACCTTCTTTGAAAGGCCTTCAAATCCTTGCTAGGTGGAGGTTGTCTTCTTGTCTGCAAGTCAAAAGCAACGGGCATTTTTAGCAGATTCCAGAAAACGTGCCTAAATCTGCCATCTTCAGTAATGTCTTCCACTTTGGTTTACGACCGCCTACCCTTGGAAGTTGAAACCCTTTTAGGATCTCATGCTTCATGAGGGTGGATACATCTAGAAATGGCCAACTAACCAACACAATTTGCCATGAAGCAATGAAGTTGGAATAATGGGAAGTAAGCTTTTCCAAGGGTCTGTCTTCCAGATGTAATTTGGAGAATCTCAGGTTGGATATGGAAATAGGGCATTATTTTCTTGCTGAGAATTTCCCCACCAGTAATGTTTATGGGTGGGAAGATGCCCTGACCCGCATCATTTGCACAAGGTCACCGTGTTATGGGTGATGCCACCTTACAACAATCCTTTTTTTCTTCCTTTCTTTTTTCAGATAGCATGAATCGAAAAGCTTTCCGCGAAAACATAAAGCCAGGATGGCATTATTTTGGCAGGAAAATGGTAAGTGGAGAATTTGGGTAGCAAGATGAAGAATACATGAATGCGCTTTGTTGTTTACATTTGGTTCTTAAGATCCTACACTTATATCTAGTGTGATAAATTTATTTGCCAATTAATCCCTTTGCTGGAGATTATGCATACCTTTAAGTGATTCACACGGTAGCAGGCGTTTTTCTTCTTTCTCTGCTCCTGGGAAATTGGAGCAGGGGACATGTAATGTGCTGATGGCGCATACGGTGGCTTGCTTGCTTTTGTCCTAAGGCCATGCGTGAACCCAGATAATGTGCTTTGTAATGTGCTGGTACGGTTGCTGCAAACCAGTTGTGGTTTGTTTAGCAGATCGTGGGCAAGCAAACCATGGCTTGCTGCAAAATGTGGAATGTCTTCTTATTGTTGAGAGACTGATCCCTGGGAATCTCCAAAAGAATGGGCAAATTCTGCTCTTGTATTCCCATTATTATTATTCAGAAGTACGTTCTGAACGTTGACATTCTGAATTTTATGTGTCTTATGGGACTGTGTCACTTAATGCAGAATACTTCTTGAGATGAGATGTTTGTATATTCTTTGTGCTTTCCCATCATTTAGTTCCTTATCCAACTATCATCTCTCTCTCTCTCTCATCTATCTATAGCTATCTCTTTCTCTCCCCAACCATCCATCCATCCATCCATCCATCCATCCATCCATCCATCCATCCATCCATCTCCATTATCTATCATCTATCTATCTATCATCTATCTATCATCTCTATAATCTATCATCTAATTTCCCAACCCTCCGACCCTTCCTATCTCTCTCTTCTCTATCATTCTATCATCTTCCCTCCATCCATCCATCTCTATCGATCTATTATCTTCCCATCCATCCATCCATCCATCCATTATCTATCTATCCATCATCTATCTATCCATTCATCTATCCATCCATCATCTATCTCTATCTCTGTATTTATCATCATCTCCCCATGCAGCTACCCATCTCTATCATCTCTATCATCTATCTATCTATTATCATCCCTCTATCTCTATCTATTGCTCCATCCATCCTCATCTCTTTTTCTCTATCTATTGCTCCATCGCTCCATCGCTCCATCGCTCCATCGCTCCATCCATCCATCGCTCCATCCATCCATCCATCCATCCTCATCTCTCTTTCTCTATCAGTCTCCCTTTCAGTTTCTCTGTCTCTGTCTCTCTCTATATGTAAAGTGCAAAGAATCTCTGGACTTCCTCCGTAAAGTAAGTCCGGTGCAGACCAATCAGTCCCCTGAGCCAGTTCCTTCTCATGCTAACAGGAGCAGGATTTGTACCAGCCGGCTCACCCAACGTGGGAAGCAACTTGTGCACCAAAACAGGAGTTTCTCTGCAGTGACCAGCTCGGTTCTTGGTTCTGTCCTTACAGGATGTAGCCGACTTCGAATGGGCCATGTGGTTTACGTCGTTCAGAAACTTCATCCTGTTTGCTCTTTCAGGGCACGTCCTTTTTGCCAAGATCTGCTCCATGGTGTCTGCTCAGGTATGTGGATGCTCAACCGTTGTGTTCTCCCAAAAGACAGCAGTCCCTGCCACCCTCTGGCTGTTCTTGGAATCACACAAGGAACACATCAACAACTCACCCCAGGGATTCCACAACAGGTCTGAGATGCTAACCTGCTCAAGCAAAGCCGATTCTAAATCCCAGCTCTTCCTCCAGCTGTCCCCAAAGGAGGTCCTTTCATACAGCCCAACATCAGTAATGTAGGCTGCAATGCACATTTAAAAAAAAAAAAGCAAAGCTTTGATTGTTCCCTATGGCCACCATCTTGACCATACCCTGCAGACACCTTCACTCTCCTGCATGAAGCCCCTACCTGGGTGTTCTTCACCCCCATGGACTAAAATTCCCCAAGATTAGTCTTTGTATACATTATGCAGATTTTTTTTTTTTTTTTTGGAGAAGACCAAAATGTCCTGTATTTTGCATTGCTCAGGCATATTTCACACACACCTGCGTGCTCTTTGTTTCATTTTGGAGCAAATGTGTGATGTAGGCCTGGAAGTGATGGGGAGGGGGCTTCCGGATGGTGGAAAAAAATAATGCAAGAACTTCAGTAGATGTTCACGAAGGAGGAATCTGTTCCAACCGTGCGGTGCTTGGCCAGAGAAGAGAACTGTGGAGACCTTGGTGTTCTCTGAGCTTGGTTGTTTTCTTGCACACATTTTGTTATCTGACTACACATCTGCAAGAAAACATCTGCAAGAAAACAACCAAGCCCAGAGAACACCAAGAAAACATCTCCAAGAAAACAACCAAGCTCAGAGAACACCAAGGACTCCACAGTTCAACCCTGAGCTACATATATTCTCTCTATATTGGTAGCAGAGAAGAGAACTCAAGGACCTGGGATCAGATGGACCAACTGTCTCTTTATTCATATCCTCGCAGCACAGGTCTGTGGTGTACATGATGTACGGCATTCTGGCTGTGCTGGGAACCATGGGAAGCAACTACCTGATGGTCATCCTGTCCCACTGCTTGGTGCTCTACACCGTGGGGCTGGCTAAACAGAGGTGGCTATGTTTCATCGCTGGTCTCTGCAGCCTAGCTTCATTCAAGATCGAACCCTTCAGCTCCTGGCAGGTGGGTAGGTCCTCCTGGTCTTGCTCCCAGCTCTCCAGAAACTTGGACAATACAGCTAAGACCTAAATCTTTATTGTAAGGCTGGAACACATCCATAACAGTGGGTGGACAGTCCTTGAGTGAGCAGGACAGGCAGCAGACTATTTGTACCCCATCCTACAAGGATTGTATGGAACGTTATGGCCTCCTCTTCCATGACTTTAGGCTTAAATAGGAGATTTTAATAAATGAAAGAGGAAAAGAATCTTTGAGATGACCTCCCACCTTCCCACTCTCCATCTCTCTGCGGCTCCCTTGGCATTTCACTCTTCCATTAACTCCAGGAAGAAACTCTAGGACAGTGTTTCTCAACCTTGGCAACTTTAAGATGTCTGGACTTCAACTCCCACAATTCCCAGCATGGCTGGCTGGGGAAT